GGCCCGCACACAGGCCCCTGGGCCGGGCCGGGCCGGGGGCCGCTCTGGTCCCCCCGGGGCCCAGGGACGTGGCTCCCACGTGCTCCCGGCCGCGCATGCGCGCAAAACGCAGGAACGCACCGGCCCGATTTGCTTGCGGTGCCTCCTTCTCCTCAGCCGACGTTCTGGTCCTGCCCCTGCCTAGCGGCAATTGGTCGAGGTGCAACCCCGCGGCCTCCTATTGGTCGAGCTGGACGTCCGTCTGGGGAGAACAGGAGGAAGGCGCTTCCGGAGGCCAAGATGGTGCGGTTCAAGCACAGGTAAGTCCCAGTCCCCCAGAGCCCCCACCCTACCCCATCCCCGCGCGCTCACGTGGTGCCTCCGCGGCGCTATAGGTACCTGCTGTGCGAGTTGGTGGCCGAGGATCCGCGCTACCGGTACTGCATCGACGAGCGCGCCGTGACCGCCGCCGCCAAGGGCGCCTTGGCCCGCGCCCACGGGGACTACGGGTTGGCCTGCTGCTCCGTCGCCTTCACAGGTCTGGGGCGGGGGCGGGTAGCGGCCCCGCGCTGTGGTAGCGGCCCCGCCCGGTTCGGTTCGGCTGGGCCGGGGACCGGCTCCCGGTGACCACCCCCCTGCCGCCCGCAGTGAAGTATCTGAACGCCTACACGGGTGTCGTGCTGCTGCGCTGCCGCAAGGACTTCTACCGCCTGCTCTGGTCCGCGCTGCCCCTCGTCACGCACCTGGAGAGCCGGGGCCAGCGGCACCCCTGCTTCTTCCACACGCTGCACGTTGGGGGTCAGTTGCCTTTCGTGCCCGGGGCTCTTGTCGGGGTGGGGGGCAGGGATTCCTACATGGGGCCGTGGAGGCCACGGCCACAGCCTGTCTAGACTGGCACCCCCCGCCCCCGGGAAATGCTGCCTCAGTTTTTGCTCTGTTCTTTGACTCCAGAAAAATAACAGCAGTTGTTTCTGTGCAAGGAGCTTGGGAAGACCCAGCTCTGGATTGTGCTTGGATATCTCCAGGCTTATCTGGTGAATCCTGTTTGTAAACTGGGCAGTGCTCATGCATAGGATTTAGAGGCCCCCTGGTTGGGAATAACTGCTCTAAGGTGCTGCCCTGCCCTGCCTCCTGCTTGAGTCTAGAAAAGTTGAGACTCACTGGTCTGAGGTCAAGTCCCGCTTGGGAGGTGCCAGCTCTGAGCTTCCACTCATTTCCTTGACTACAGGAAAAAATAATGACTTCTTCTGTTGCAAAGAACTCAGACCTCAACAGGGCACTGCTAATTCCTATTTGAAAACTCTGGGTTTAATTTTAGGACTCATGATTGCACACCTAAAAATACTAACTTTACATAGCAACTATGAAAGCATCTCAAGGCATCCCGGCTGAGAATCAGTGCTTCAGCCTAACAGGGCTAACTACCTCCCTCCTTGTATGCAGAGGTTGCATCTTGGGTTCTTTGCCACTGGCTGCAATCAGAGGGAAGAATGCAAGCTTTACTTGTTCTTCCAGTTGCAGGACAATGTTAATGTAGCAGCCTTAGTGAGGCATCAGTATCTCTTAACTCTTAAAAAGATGTTAATTCAAAGTTCAAGTCACTCTTTGTTCTACCAGGGCCATTCTACCAGTTCTAGATGGTCTCAATCCAGTGCTTAATTGTTCACCATTGTACTGCTGACTCTGTGTGGCAGTATCTTAAACTTCCTAATTAGCAGGGTTACATCAATGTAACATGTGCCTAGCAGATTCAGCAGCTTCAGCAGACCTGTAGTTCTGCTTTAGTCTTGAATACAGCAAAATAGCTGTATTGGTCTCAGAGGTACACCCATACATTGGTCCAATATGGGATCAGTACCAATGTAAAGAAAATTGACTATATTGGAAATCGGCCTGATGTAGTTAATAATTGGGCCGATGGCCACACACATGAACGAGCAGTTACAGCACAGCACACAGGCAGCAAGGAGCACAGCCAAGCAGTTTGGAGAGCTCTGTCGAGCTTGTAAATCTGTTGCGGTGGATGGAGAGGGAGGAGGTAAGGGGTGTGGAGGGGCACATCAGTGCCCCCCATGGAAAGGGAGGGAGTGGGGTGCAGGCACTGCCTGGGGTGGGGGGGCCTCCCACCACTGTGCACACCCTGGAGGGGAATATGCCCCCAGATCTATGGGGGACATAGGTGGGGTGGCAGGCTGCAGCTGTGGGCTGGGGCCCTGCTAGGCTGTGCTCAGGGTGGGCAGTGGTGCTGGAAGTCGGGACGGGAGGGAGCTGCAGCCCCTTCTTCACAGTGCTGCCACTGCCCACCTAGGGACCAGTGTGGCCCAGCTGCCTCCCTTCCACTGGGAAGAGCTGGGCCTGGCCTCCAGCTCCTGCCCCACCCTGCACAAATCTGGGGGTACACACAGCCTGCCTATACCCCCCTGCCCAGTGTCCTCCCGGGCTGTGTGCAGCAGGAGGAGTTGCCCCCCAGACCCTGCCCCACTCCTTTACTGCAGGGGGTATTGATCTGCCCCCCCCATTCCCCATCCCTCCCCCTCCACCACAGACTTACCAGCTAGATGCAGCTGTATTGGCAATCAGATCAGTATTGGCTATTACAAACTGGCTTTTGCTATTGGCCCCCAAAATCTCTATCCGTGCACCCATGGTCTCCAAGCTTTCAGAGGAGGAAGGGAGACTGGAAGGATAGCAAGATCCTTTTTATTAATTCTGTAGCCAACTTAAATAAAAGCAAGCTGCAGCTGTGTTTCATACTATTTGATGCATAGCTCTGCTGTAACAACTTTCTTTTTTGTGGGAATATTGATGTTACCCAAGATGCTGCTAGTTTGATCAAGCCCCTTTTAACATACAGAACTGTCCCCTTGTTTTTTTGCTAGGTACAATACGATCATGTCAGAAGTTTTTAATTCAGTATAACAGAAGACAACTGGTGATGCTTTTGAACAGTTGTACCAATAAAGGTAAGTAGCTGCTCCATTCAGATCTTCTAAAAAGGATCCATCACACAAGCTTTGCAAGATCTATTGTGGTACTGCACAATGCACCACAGTTACTGTTTTACTTGTGTTAGTCTGATTCTAGAAAGTATTCTTCACTTCTGATTAGTCAAACCCTTATTTTCCTTGATAAGAAATGTTTGAATAGTGATGTGTTATGTTGGCCTTTCTTGTTGCAGAGGAGAGAGAGTCCATTCAGAAGTCACTACTAGGCTGCTCTCTTCAGGAAGTAGAGGAACAGTTTCAAAGTGCTGAGGAAGAGGATGACTGTGCAGAGACAGACTAAACATAGTGTAATTATTTATCACCTCTCACAAGTAGAGACAAAATTCCTGTAACTTAGTGTCTCAGACTACCTCTGTTTTGTCAAGAAGATCAACTATTGTAGTTCTTGCCTCATTTCTGCTGCTTTTTTCAGTAAAAAAAAACAAACCCAGAATATTGAATTCTGTGGAGAAGATCAATAGAAAATGGTAAGCCATAAAGCTTTCCTCTGCATACAGTGGGGAGGGAGAGATTAGTAGGATACCATGCAATCTTTCTTGGGGTGTTCAGACAGTTTTGAACACCTTCATGCCTGGATGAGGGAGTTCAGGTTACCCCTTGAGGAAGGGGGAAAGTAAAGGACTATTGGCTTTCAACCAGCTGGCTTGTTTTTAGTATTCAGACCGGCATCAACATAAGCTTTAAAAATCCAGAAAACTCTCTGAAGAGAAAGCAGAATCTACTTTGGTACTCACAGGGATTTTTGGGGGGAGGGGGGAGAAGAGGAGAGAAGACTAGTCTCATTTAAGGCAGAATGCACAGTTATCCAGTATCCCTATGACTAGTTATTTACCATCATCCATTATGTTTTATCATTCTAGGCAAAAGCTTTACTGCAATTCAGCTAGTCAGCTTAAAGCCTCAGCTGTTTTGAAACCCAACATCTCATGCAAGCTAGACATAAAAGCTCCTGGCTGCAAACCTAGCATACCTGTGAATGTTAATAAAAAATGAGCTTGATTCTGTAAGCCTTTCCCTTGTGTGGAGAGAACTTTCATAGGAGATGTGAGGCACCTTTTAAAACTAATTAAATATTTCAGTGAGGAGGAATTTTAGGTATTTACAGAAATGCAGTTTAACTTGCAGTATCTCAAGTTACACTACGACTCCCTCTACAGTTGACTTCATGGTCACACTTGTTTATTTGGTGTGTTTTTGGGGTTTGACAAAAAGCTTCTTAACACCCAACACTGATTTAGTTCTTCCAGCAAAACAGGCAGCATAGACAAAACTATCCTATAGCTAGCGTTTCCTCAGACACCCTGGGGGAAGAATAGGAGAAAGAAGTTTGCGTTACAGGATGGGGATAGCACAATGCAGGAGATCTCTGCACTATGAAAGCTGTTGGGCCTCAGTTTTGTAAAGTTACTTTCAAAGAAATTTTAGCTTTGTACCTTTTTGCTTCTTCATGAAGCCATACAATTTCTGAAAAACAGCATTTTAACATCAGGAAAAAAAGACAGATAAAACCATTTTATTTGGACAGCCTTACCTAAATTAAGGTATTTGTAATTTAAAGACTTTCACCCCCATCCCCTGCCTTTCAGTGTCTGGACTGATTATTAGGGACCTACTTAATTCACAAGTTTTTGCAGTAACTGCAAAAACCAGTGTTATCTGTGATTGCCAGGAAATACTCCGTGTGCAATGATTTTCCTGGGAAATCCAACCCAATAAAACCCCACAGTGTAGTATTCGTATAATGTTTTAGAATCCCTCAGTTCTTACTGCAATACTCACACAATGCAGTAATCCCTGCAGCTACTCAGGTGCTTCAGACTGACTGCTTGCAGTGAGGATGGGGCCTCTACCAAATCAGCAGCGAGAAGTGGGGCCTCCAGGAAATATCCACGAAATTGGGCCTTCATGCCATAAGCAGACCACAAAAATAGTTGTCTTGCTATGAATTAAATAGATCCCTACTGATTACCCTTGCTTAAAACTCAGCTTGCCTTAAACCTATTTTAATAGCTTCATTCAAGCCTTACGTGAGGGAAGTAGGGGGGGAAAGAAGGAATACTGGTTTTATTACTTTGTATGCAGTATCAGCCATATAGATAGCAAATCCCTAAGACAGCAGAGAGTTTGACTGATTTAAGTGAAACTAGCTGAAACCTGCAATACACTTGCAATTAAGTTTTTATTGCAAAAGTATTTCTTTAGATACAATACTTTTTTAGTTATCTTTTGAGTGAATACTTCAATGGAAACAACTTCTTCTCACCCTCAAAGACTACATAAAGCTGTCCATGTATAAACACAGGCTTAGGAATATAAATACATATTATGTCAAGTCTGACCTTGTGACTTATTCTGTGACTCTAAACAAGAGGGCCCTTGTACATGTGCAGAAATTGCCTTTTTTTTTTAGCAATTTAATTGTGTATACATGTTCAATGGTGTACTTCAATTTAAATGACTTCATGTAGCAAACTAAAACACCTCATGTATTTTAGTTTGCTGTGTAACAAAATTACAGCGATATTCCTCATGTGTACAAGGCCCCTATATGTAGAAGGCTGTGGGGATGGTGCACAGAGTGCTGGAAAACTGGGAGTGCTTGAGGAAGCTCAGGCTTGGTGGGCTTTTAGTGCCCCATGCACCACCCCTGTTGCCTTCTCCAGCTGCCAGTACACCTAGCTGCCCTCATAGGGCAGCCAGTCTGTTGCTGGGTAGTCCCAGGCAGTGTGTGGGGTACTAGAAGTCCACCAAGCCTAAGCTCCTCTGAGCACATCCAGGCTTCCACCGCCCTGTGTGCTGTTGGATCTGTTGGGTGCTGCCTGTGAGCTGGGGCTGCACCTGCACAGCTAGTACCCTGCCTAGGGGGCACCACTGCTGTGGAGGGAAGCACTAAGTCCTCCTGCAGCTCAGGGGCTGTGCAACCCAGTGGCAGCTCACACAGGCAGGCTCTGCTGGGGGCAGGGGGGAAGTAGAGAAGGAAGAGAGTGTTCTTGTCTTTCAGGGAGCCAGTACAGAACAACAGATGTGTGTGAACACAGCCCCAGGAAGCCTGGCATGGGAATACAGGGAGCTGAGGCTCCTGTGTCACCTACAATAAACACGCTTATTCCGTCTGTCCAGAGCACTCAGATTGGTTACTGAAACAACCATTGTTATTGGCTGCTGAGACCACCAGAGTGCTCCAGCCAGAATAAGCCTACTATTATAATAGCTAGATATCAGAGTTGACTTGGAATGGACATTCAAGGTAGTGGGGTAGAATATAGCAGAAGAGACTCAAGCACCACAGAGTTCCATGTGTGCATATGATTTATTGCAACTGTTTGCCTTCACTGGTACATTACACCTATGGTTCATTTTAGTCAACAAAAATCCACACCACTTAACTCATTAGCTTCAAATCAAACCACAAGCAGTGTAGAAAGACTGCTCAAGTAAAGAAAAAGAAAGGGGGTAGGTGGAAAGAGGCATGTTTATAGTAAGATGTGCCCAGTACAGTCCAATGTATGCCCACAAACCAAACAGATGCAGGCCTGTGTCCTGAAAGAAACAGATCCTGGTTCCTTGCTATGGGGTTATTTTTCTGAAACCTGCAGCTAGTGTCACTTGTTCCTCTAGTTTGAGACCAGCTAGGTCTCAAAACCCCACCAAGCCTCATCATTCAGAATTCTAGGAACAATTTAATTACTGCAGCTCATGCAAGCACACAGACTCTAGCATATAAGGTCTAGAGAACCACAGTTTCCCTCACCCAGGTTGAAGTACTCCAAACTGTAAGCTAGGATGGTCTCTTCTAACAAGCATCCCTGTCATCCTCTTTGATGAAGGGATTCCAGTATGAGTTGTCATTTGAGCCAAGTTCTGCTTCATTCACCTCAACTCTAAATCCTAAAAGCCAGAAGAATTAAACTGAAGGATTTATTACTGTTTAGAAAGGCAAGAACAACAGATAACCCTACTGCTCTCGTTTCCAGTGTGAGGCAAACAGCAACTGCTAAGAGGATGATGTTTCTTTTCAGCTTTGCTGAAAGCTACACCACTGCCATGTCTAGTCTACTAGACTTCTTTCTTCCCATGCATGTTGATACGCAGGTTCTCAGCCTCTTCACGGAGGCAGCATATTGCAACACTCTGGCAGTGCCATAGACAGCTGTAAACACATTTGAACTGGGTATTAGGCCAGAAGAACTGACTTGGCACAGACTGGAAGCCTTGGCTAAATGGTTTTCCAGGTTCAGTGTTTCTCAATACTTTATTCAATTGGTTTAGACCAAAATAATCTGGAAAATTTTCTCTCCTTACTGTGATATAAGTTTCCACAGATTCCCCCCTCAAGCCCCAGAAACAGATTAAATCTGTTCAAACTTAAATACTTAAACTATAGCAGCAAAACAAAAAGCAAAATGAAAAGAAAAACCAAGAGGAGAGAGAAGTTCTCTGGGACTGCATATCACTTTGTGTGAACAACCGAGGTGCTGAAGAGCAGCTTCTGCTTCTGCTTCTTTCTTTTCTTGCCTCCCTTTTCTTCTGTAAGAAAGAAGACAGTAAAGTTAAGGGATTTTGCTTCTACTTAAACCAAACCATATGCCTCCTATTCATCTCATTTAATGGATTTAACAAATAGGGGAGGGGGTAATTTTAGAGGTATTATGTACAGAACACTATTAGTATGGAAATCTGTTATACAAGCATCTAGTTGCACAGGATTTAACTTCAGAACTTATGATTTTTATTTCTTCAAGTACTGGGAACTATGATTACTGGTCCTTAAAGCTGTCAGTAGTAACCCAGATGCCTGAGGAGTTCTCTCTTTTTGACCTGGACTTGAAAAATATGGATGCCTTTTACTGGTCACTAAAAACAACAGGAGATTGAGGAGGTACATGAATCCTTAGCTGGAGATGAACTGTCCCACTGTCTATCAAAATAGTGTCATTTCCACCATGTTCACATGTGTTAGGAGGTAGAACACAGATGCCTTTCTTCCCCATGCAGAAATCTTCAGTGCAACATTGCACTGCACTGTGCTGCTATCAAACTTACAGATTCTAAAATTGAGCATAGCAACCAAGGATTACTGCATCAAGTCAGTTCATCTTTAAAAGCCTTGATCTGAATTCATCTGAGATGTCTTCATACCTTCAGCGATTCTGCAGAGTTCCAGATGCCCCAAAACCTTTGGGCAAGTTCAGGTTCATCTTTCCACATTACACACAAATTCTTGGGCATACAGAGAGCCTCCAGACTATATTAAAATAGTGCATCATAAGGTCCTAGTTTTCTCCGTTTAAAAGTCCCAAATTCTCAGATAAAAAAACCCAACTAAATCTGCAATTTTTCCATGATTAAAAATGAAACACCACTATATATAGGTATCAATTGAACACAGTGTTTTATTGATATATTTACAATTTTAAAGCAACTTGGAAGCCTGCCAGAACCTCAATCATTATAATAAAATAAATTCTAAATACCTATATATTTTAGTATGCAAGTTTGTATTTTTGGTTTTGTTGGGTTTTTTTTAAGTCAAAGAAAAGTCAGAGCTCCTCCTGCCCCCTTCACTTAGCAGGTTGCAGGTCTAGCTGCGGGTTGTTACCCCACCCTCCTCTGCTGCTTTGTGACACTGAGCAGATCTGATATGCTGCTGTGTTGCCCTTGTCTATGCCAGCACCCCACACTCTGAAGCCTCAGACCTGCTGGCATCCCTCACTCCTGGCCTACAGCCACTGGGGCTGCTGGCACCCCTCCCAGCCCCGCTAGTGTGAAGAAGGGAGTGGGTGTGTGGGGAGCACATGCCCCCTTGTTGTCAATGCTTTCCCTGCCCCCACAACACTTCACTTGTGCCCCTCCACCCTGCCCCCAACTTACCTAGGAGCTGTGGGAGCTGGTCTCCACTGCTGCATGGGTGCAGCTGCACACATGCACAGGGCTCCCTCTGCCTCCAAAAATCACCCTCCCCCATTCCTCCAGCCCCTTACAGGCTGGAACTCAGCCTGCCCGCAAGGGGAAACCCAGTTTTCTGTATTCTTTAAGAGTAGAAAATCCACATTTTTTTGCAGTGAACCAGAGACTCAGATCCCCCAATCATGATGGGTCATATATGAGGTGCAATTCATGACTCATTTCTAGATGGCAAATGATGGCTTCCAGCAACAGCTATACTTACAAAATCCTGAACTCCTGTGGCTCCTGCAACAACCTCGGCAGCTGTTTTAAGTGACAGCAGCCTTGTTGAGGCAGTTCAGAAACAGCTCTGCAACCTCAAGTTGTTCAGAACAACTCTGGTGGTATGAGTTAGAACTGTCCCTGACTTGCCATTTACACTGCTAACAGAATACAGATAACTTATGCCAGCATTATACCATACTTGCAGTGGGGAAAACTCCAGCCAGCAGAGGCTTTTATAACCTCTACAATGGAAGGTAGAACCTTCTCTCCCTAAAAAGGCTGCTGCATGTCACCTAAAAAAGCTCATCATGTTCTTACCAGAGAGAGGATTAGATGTGGATGGCTTGTCCAATTTAAGGAAGGCGGCCTCAATAGCCTGACTAAAAGAATTTTGAAAGCTGGGCACAGGAATCCGGTCAGAGTTGTCACTCTCTCCATCACTATCCATTGGAGCAGGAGGGGCAAGAGTATTTTCCTCTGGAAAAAAAATCATCCTTATTACAAAGGCACAAACAGAAGAGCTGAACAGGCCTCAGCTATACAGAAGTGCTTTCAACATGAAGTAAGAGCTTTAAGAGACCTCAAGATGGAAGGATGGTTAGAAGGGTTTCTTTACCTTTTTTCTTTGGAGCAGATTTTGGCCATATTTCTGGCTTTGCTTTTCCAGCCCTCAGCATCTACCAAGAGGGGAAAAAAAAAAAAAGTGTGAATACCAGAAATCTGACCAGGCTTCATCTACTGGAATTCCCTCCCACACTTCCATTCACATGGAATTACAAATAGCCTAGATTTGTTAGTGTAATCACTTTGGAGACAGAATATAGGACTTTAGAAATCTTTGGCAGATCCATAAAAACATTCAACTCAACCAAGGGGTGTATTCCCTCTGCTCTTAAGGCCTCCTATAGGGATTGTATGCTTCATACCACTTGGGGAACAGCAAGTAAGGCAAGTCAGTAGAATGTTCTCTTGCACATACTACATTAAGGGAGCTGGATTTACCTGAGCAAAGGAGGGGAAAGGAGACTCTTCTTCCAAGCTCCCACAGAGTGATGGGCTGACCAGGCTGGCAGCTGGTAACAGTGTAGTAGGGACAAACTCTACAGACAGGGGAAAAAAAAAAGAGCCAGTTCATAAGAGATCCAGTTACATTAGCAAAGTTTCATGTTAGTATGACTGAGGAGAAAGGGGAACCAGCCAAATCAAAAATCCAGCAAGACCCACTATCTTCAGTTTATTTTGTCACATTTTGATATTTCAGTCCTCCCAGCACCATACACGCTTAATTCCCTGATATTTAAACATCTTCCTGACTATACCTAGTTTTTCCTATAGGGAGATTTCTACTAGAAATTTAAAGAGGACCCCAGGAATTTTGGGAAGGAGATCCCAAATAAAGTATTACGGGTGGTAAATTTACTGGACTTGATCCTACTGAACACTACATAAAGTGCCACATTTTCCTATATAAAAAAGGCAGCATAATCCAGAGAAAGGAGAAACCAAATGGTTGTTCTCCAAAAGGTGGTTGTTCTCCTATAGTGACAACATTCCCACCCCTCTGTGGGTGCATATTTGGGAAAGAATCCATTATTCTTTAAAATGGTTGTTCTTTTCCCTTTTAAGGCTTCTTAGAAGTGGGATGACAATGCAATCCTCATATTGTTCCCAGGGTACAGGACAAGACAGAGTAGAAGAAAGGCAGAGGAGGGAAAAAAGGGGAAAAGGCATTTGATCCTCCATTTTTAGATGCTGACCTTCTGAAGTTCACCACTACAGCAGTCCAAAACCAGCAGTAATGGCCAATCTAACTTTGCCCCCTGAGTAGTAGAGTCATTGTTCCCCAAAGCATCAGTCCATCTGCCATTTATGACTTCTCCCAAATGCTCACCTGTCTCAGATACAGGACTTCTACCAAGAGGAGGAAGTAAAAAAGGACTCTGGTTATCACTGCTGATGGACTCTCCCAAGCAAGAGCTGAAGGCAGGGAACTGTTGCAGATTCTCTAGAGCAATGTGGACCTCTGGATCTAGGGCGAAAGCCATGAACAAGATTTAAAAAAAAAACAAACAAAGACATAAAGGGTTAGTCTACAAGCATCAAAAGTTGTCCCATGGACAGAGATTATAGTCTCTTCCCTGGTGGAAAGGTTTAGTGATCTTGTGACGTCATCCTCTACCTTGAGAGGCTCAAAACAAGCCTCACTGCTAGGCACATATAGATACCTGTGCAAATGTCTGCTCCTTCTGCAACTTTACTTAAAGGGAGAATCTAAGATACAGGACCCAAGTACCCTATGAGCTACTTGGATATCCCTTTTTCATGGCAATTCTCCAGTGTCCCACAGCTCTAAGTTGTATACAGCTATTTTAACAGGGAATTTTCTGTATAATATTTATTTGATTTATGTACCACCTTTACCAAAAACAACTCAGGACATCTTGCAAGAACAAAAACAGAATAAACTTAAAAAGAACAGTGACAGAAGAAAACATCTTAAAAAAAAAAGAGAACTAAAATATTTTTTGAGCTGACAAGCAAATGACAATGACTTCCTACACATTTTGCCAAGTGGACTTGACATACTGATGGTACTTGCAGAAGGTTGCTCTCTGCTGACCTTGGGGATCATGATGGTGTATAAAGGAAGAAGGTGATCCCTTAGGTTCATATAAGGCCCTAAGCAGTCTGGGCCCTAAGTCAAAGCCAGCACCCTGAATTGCACCAGGAATGCTACTGGGAACCAGTAGTCTCTGGGGCACTGGAGTTATGCATTCCTGGCAATCCACCTGTCAGAAGGCAAGCCACTGCATTCTGCACCAGCTGCAGCTTCCAGATGGTTTGCAAAGACAGCAGCCCATTGTAGAACTCATCGTAGCAGTCTACCTTCTAGATTACAAGGGCATAGATCAGTGTTTCTCAACCCATGGGTCATGACCCAAAAGTAGGTCACAAGAATATATGAAAGGGTCGTGAACAAGCCTGGATCAACAAACTTTAAAAATGGATTCTCCTTTAAAGGAAAAAAAAATGGGGGGGGGGAAACCTGTGGCTTTTCCCATACAGGAAGGCAGAGACACAGCCTGCTTGGGCCCCCCCATACACCTCCATGCCCCACACACTGGGGGGATGGGACCTGGGTGCAGCAGGTCAGGAGTGAGGGGAACTGGGTCAGGACTGGCCACTGATGTTTACATATGGGTCCCAATAAAAAAAAAAAAAAAAGGCTGAGAACCACTAGCATAGATGATGGTCAGATCAGAGTTTGAAAGAAAGGTTCACATCAAATGGAGTTGGTAAAAGGTGCTCCTAGCTACAACCACCACCTAAAGATCCAGGTGCAGCAAAGAATCCATAAGTACTCCAAGGCTGTGAATTTGACTGACAAGAGGAGGTAAAACCCCAATGATAGGCGTCTCAGTCCCCTTTAAGTCAACTGATCTGCCTACCACTGTCACCTCTATCTAGTCTGGATTCAATTTCAACTGGTTCACATATGCTTAGTCCCTGGCTGCCGCTAAGCACTGAGGCCAGGGTTAGAAACGGAGGAGAGGTTCATGAGTCAAGATGTCCATATTGATCGAACCTTGTTCTCTGCACAAGTTTTACCAAGTGGCCTCATATACACACACAAGCAGCAAGAGCAATAAGATACGAGCCCTGGAGGACCCTGCGTAAAAGTTTCAAAGACTTGGCCCTCATCACTATGGGACCTCCCCTGCTAGGAAAGAGTGGAACCAATTTAGAATTGTCCCATGAATACCCACCTTCATGGTCAATTGTATCAAAGGCTGCTGGAAAATTAAGATCAGCAGGGCACAAATTCCCTTTGTCAATCTTCAGGTGAAGAGCAAAGACCAAGGCCATGAGTGCAGTCTCTGTGCCAAGACGAAAGCCAGATTGACAAGGATCCAGGAAACCTATGGCATCCAGATGTTCCTTGGAGCTGTCAGATGACTATCCAATGATGCTCCCCCAAAAACCAGCTTGAGACAGGGCCATGGGGCGGGGAAGGTCAGCACCAAGTGAAGGCTTCTTGAGCAGGGGCCAGACAATGGCAGACTTAGGAGCATCCAGTACCAGTGCCTCCTTTCAGAAGGGCAGGACAACCCCTGCCAGCAGTGACTCTGGTTTCCACCCTCCACCCAATAGCTTTTCCAAGCCAGGATGGGCATGGGCCAAGTTCACAGCTGGTCACCCTCAGGCCCAGCACATCCTTCATAATCAGCAGGCAATAGCAAGGGGCAGATCCAGAGGGCTGCAGTGGTACAGCTGCACCCCTCCGATTCCTGCTCTACCCAAAGTTTAAAGCCACCTGCCTGGGAAGGTCAGTGACACTTCTATTCAGGTTGATGCAGGAGTCAATTGACTTCAGGGCTCACTGCCATCTCCCCAGTTCCTGCTATCTTTCTCTCCATACCACAGGTGTTAATGACCCTTTATCATTCTAATGGTCTTGAGTCCCACTATTCAAACTGTCCTTTATTCTGCAAATTTTGTTGTGTTAGCCATCCCAGGTTTCTCTCTTCATGAGATGTGCCACACCATATGTACCCCCCTTATCAAAATCCTAGGCCTGTCCATGGCAACAACAAATTTAAAACAAGCCATAATAGGATGAGACCAGAATTCCTCAGCTCCAAGAGCTGACTCTGCAGCAAATGTGGTGGCCCTCAAGCCATGCCAGGTACAGGAAACTGTTTGCAAAACAGCCAGTAAATTTAATCACAGACAGAAGATGACTCAGATTCCACACAGATACAAGCTGGATTAACTAGGCCATTCACCACCTGGAAGAGCTGTGCCAGATGACATTTTGCAAATACAATGGAAAAGAAGAAACATTTCTTGGCCACCACCATTACCACACCATAGTCGTTTAAGACCAATGCTACAATGCAGGTTCAGAGCCACCTGCTTAGGTGCCTCATCTCCTTTATATAAATCAGTGGTGACTTGTGTCACTGCAGCAGTGGGAGCAGAAGCCTGGGTGCCATGATGTCTGTGGCCAAGGTCAGCATGCAATTCCACAGATCAATGGGCTATCATCACAGTAGCAGTCAAGGTTAGTGGGAGGGTCTCCTAGAGCTCCAAAATCCCTTGTGTAGAACAGTTATTTGATGACCTGCTCAACTCCTATAAAAGGAGTAGACTTGCTATTGTATACTGGCAGGATCACAGGCGAGTGATTTAACACATACTAGTTAAGTCTCAAAAAACAAAAAAAACAAAAAATGCGCCCCCCCCCCCCC